GGGGGGGGGGGAGGGGGGGTCTGCGATCCCGGTTGAACCACCGTGCCACTGACCGACTTACCTTCTTCACTCGTCTCCCTCGCTCTTCGACGGGAGAGTCCTGCTTTTTCGCGCGTTACGTGTGAAGCACGGAAGTGAAGGCGGATATCGGGACTGATCCGAAATGCGACGGGGCTGCTGTGACGGAGGCTGGGAAGCATCCGGTGCAAGCAGTGCACTCGGCCAAGCAGCAACGTGCATATCGAAAACAAAAGGCTCCGAGATTCGCTGCTCTTTGAGGAATAGAAAAGCTCTCTTTATTGAAGACAGAATGTAATAAATAATAATAAATGGATGATAATTTAAGGATATGGGAGGTCACAGCCACTGTACGCTGCTAAGGCAGATCCTGGTAAGGGAACCTGTCGACACCGTAGTCGGGCGCCCAGCCGGCGTAGGGCTGCTCGTTGATCTCCTGCTGCTGCTGCTGGGACCTGTGCCAGGTCTCGTGATGAATGTCGTGAGGCTTGTAAATTCCGTAGCTCAGTCGCGTGGCAGTGAGTTGCGGCGGGGGTGGCGGCGTCAGGAGAGCCTTCAGGGCCACAGCACCCGATAACAGCAGCGCAGCCAATCCTGCTCCCAGCCCCTTGATTCCGATCAGTCCGATCAGGGTGATTACGATGGGCAGAACAACCAAAGCCTTCAGCTTCAAGGCCAGTAGAATTGGCAGAATGATTTTCTTGAGCTTAGTACGGGCTGAAATCAATGGGAATTTCGATTAAAGCGAAAGTCACCAGTGGTCACCAGTGATCACCAGTCGCCAAGTGTGCGAATCGACGCTCCCCATTCGAACCCGTGCATTTCGCTCTTTGACCGATTAAGGCATTTGTCCGTCGACAATCACTGCATCAGCCCGACCAGGACTTGCTTTTCCTTATTTTTCATCCTCGATGCCTCGACTTCTTTCTATGGACACTTGCTTTCGTTTCTCGCTCCTCCTCGGGAATAAATAATAAATCGATTGGAATTGTTGTAGGCGATTGCGAGTAATGTACATTGATTCGGAGAGCAAAGCTACGTGGCCGCGGCAAGGTTGCGAGTGGGAGCTGCGGTCCAGAGCCGCGATGCGAGGAGGGAAAGGGCGTTAACCGGAAAGCCGTCTACCGGAAGACCCACTTACGAACGAATCGCCTCTCGCGTCGACGACCCACTTGGATGTCATTGGACGAGGCATTAGAAAGGTATGCCGGTATAAGACTACGTAGCGAGAATATCTTCCACGTTCGACGCTCGACGCTCGACGCTCGACGTCGTATCACTCACTCAGGGGATCCTTACCTTCGGAGGCGCCGCCGCCTGTCATTCCTCTGAGGTCAATGTCGAGGCTGCCGCTCGTTGCGCCAAGAGCGCGACCCACGTATTGCGCCGATGGCCCCTCTCGCGGTAGAGCTATGTGGATCTTTCGGCTTCCAAGGAACTGGTCGACTCTCTTCAAAAGAGGATCACGCTCCAGCCCAGCATCTTCCCTCGCTTCCACCACGGGAACCTTCTCGAGAGTTATCATGTCCCCGTAAATACCGATGCTCTCCTCGGCCTCCAGAGCATCGATGGCTCTTAGGATTTTCTCTTCCTGCTGACTGCCATCTGCATCTATGGCGGCAGCAGCTGACAGCGCTGTCAAGAATGGCGTCAGCGTCATCGCCGTCGCGACGACCTTTACGAACACGGACGCTCCTAATAGTTTCATCTTCGACTTCTCTATGCACTTGCTTGCTGCACTTGTGCTTCCGAAATCTTTCCTCGTTAACGATAAGTGCTTCTCGATCAGCGATTTTGACTGTCCTGCCTCGCGGCAATTTTTTTTCTTTTATACGAAGCATCGAGAGCAATGGTGGGGCCAGTTTGAGCCATTTGGCAAGCGTCGTGCTGCTTTGTGCTGCTTTGTGCTGTCGGGAATTTTAATACTCCATTCTCACCGATTGTCAGGCGATGCATTACAATATGCCTGAAGGAGCGCTCCGCCGCAACGAGTCACTACTGTATGATGTACGTCATACATACCGAATACATACAAAATTTCCCTTTTTCTCGGCCTCGTTTATTCGTTTCTCCTGGTCAAGTAGTTTCTTATGCTTTATGTCGAATCGACTCACTTCGAGGCTCTCGCAAAGAAACTCAGATGGCGCACAGGTCGCGGAAATGGGAAATGCCTTTTCAAGTTAGCACGGGAGATTGATACATACTATATTCATGCAATTTTCCTACATGATTCTGTGAAAGAAATTTTAAAATGTTCGCTATGCACTCGTAGCACAAAACATTATCAAAAATGTTTGAAAACTTGTAAGGGTATATTTCGTCTTTCTCGAGCGATCATCTTCACCGATATCATGCATCTTAGCATCTTGAAATATCGGCACATCTTTTTATTTCATGAATTGCAGTTATAAAATAAGGACTCTACGTTTGACAATTCAATTATCACCTGAGAGCCCGCATTATTTTTATTGGATATCAACTTTCGACATTATCGAGAACTTGCTCGCGGAAAGCGTAATATCAGATTTTTCAGTAGTGTCTTTTAAAAGCTTTACAATTCTGTGAATTTTGAGGTTTCAATGAGGTATTTTGAATAGAGATAATATAACGTCATCTTGATATGTCGAATCGTCCAAAAGTCACGAACATCCCAGAGTGCAGGATACGACGTATGTCTTGAAGCCGTTCGAAAGACGTTCGAAAGACATTTAAAAAGCTTCAACACTAATGGTGGAATCCAATTTTTAGCCCTTAACCTTGTGTTCCTTGCCATCCCAACAATATATATATAACTGCCTAGTCCGTGTATGCGAATTTTCAAACACCCTGTAAATTTACAGCATATATGACAGTTTCTCTTAATCAAGAGAAATCGCAAGGAATTAAAAACTAGATGCAGTGATTGTACTGCACTGTCTTGGTCTGTCAAGTGAAGATATTCATATTGAATAATTTATTAGTGATCAGCATTAAATATGACATAATATTATGGATAAATATTAGGGCTAACAGTCTCTGCGGTACAACGTTCTGTACAAATGCAATCAATGGGCTTGATTGGCGGCGGTGGCGAGGACATCGGGGGTCTGGCCGCTGTAGGCTAGTTCGTGAGCGTCCTTGAGCTCGCCGGCGGCGTCGAAGCTTCTATAGTAACCTTGACTTTGACCCGCGTTCGAGGAGCCAGAAGCCCATCCGGGAGAGGCAGCAGCCGGTTCGATCCACGTGCTCGCCGGTTGAGCAGTCTTGCTGAAAAAGTTGCTCGCCGATGAAATACCGGCTCCATTGCTGCCGCCAAACAGCTTCTGGAAGGCCAGGATGCCGGCCAGCAAGAGAGCAATCTTGCCGACGAATAGTGCCTTCAGGGCCAGCAGAGCGAGACCTCCCAGTAAGATCGGTACCAGAGCGAAGATCTTGACACCGGCGGCAGCCACCAACGGCAGAATCATCTTCTTTATCTTGCCGCGACCTGCAAAGAAATAGTATTCGATGACCGTTCAATCGCCAAGAGATTGCAATCGTATCGTGCGATCGAGAGGCCACGTGACTGCGCGAGGGACATCTGCACATAGCCCGAGAGCCGCAAGAGCGAGGGCAACCCGGAGCGAGTGAGGGTTCCGGAGGACTCGAAGCCTCGCTCCTTCACACCTCCCCATTGTTTTCGATTCGCCTGTCGGCTCTCTCGTTGATCGCAGAATCGAAATATCATCCGCTCCGACAATAGGACTTGCTCACCTTCGACGAAGGACCGTGCGATAGAGTCCTGTCCACCTTCGGGCATGCTGATCCTCAGAGTGTGACTCTTGAGGAAGGAGACGGCCGACTCGTAGAGCATGGATGCCAGCTTGATGGTTCTGTCCGTGGCGTCACGTGGTAGCTCGTTCATCAGTTCAGCTTCACTTTTGATTGGGCTGTGTGCCTTTGCGGTTCGCTCCACTGAAATGATAATTTTGGTATTTCGTTAAGGTCGCATCTACGCCGAGCATCGCCGTGCAGCTCGCAACGAGAAGAGAAACACACTCACTGGGTCCGTCGCGGACGAAGCTGATTCCGTCGAGGAGTCGAATGTCGCTGGAGCGAGCGGCTCGCTTCAGGACTCCGACGGCCTTGACGGCGATGCAGCTCAAGAGGTTCTTCTCGTGCTCGAGGCAGTCCACTTCGCTCGAAGGATGTTGCTCCTGATTCGATGGCGTCGGGACGGCCGACGTCGTAGCCAGGAGTATCGCCGAGCCGAGCAGCACTCTCAGAATCAGTAGTCGATGCATCTTGGAGTAGCAGGGCGCGTTCACACGATTTTCGGACGTAAAATGCTTCTTGGCCCTGGGTGCCTTCAATCTTTATAGGTGTCCCGTGTGGCGAACCCCCACCCCGTCGCCCATGAGCGACGCCTAAGACTCATCGTTGAGCCCATACTGGCGCAGGAACGCAGCTCGACTTACAGGCCGAGTACCTCCCCAGGAAACTTTCCTTGATAATTCTTTAAACAAATGCCAGGCGGACCGACGCTCGGGTTGGTGTCTTTGTTGGGCGGGCCCTAACGCTCGTTCGGACTGACCTAGAGATTAGGTTGCCCCTCGCTAGAATTTAGGTCATTGGGGGGAAGGGATTCATGGCCTATCATCTCTCTCTCTCTCTCTCTCTCTCTCTCTCTCTCTCTCTCTCTCTGTCCGCCTATCCCTTATTATTCTTTCTACTTTTCCAGACTTTTTTTATGCCAGTCTATTATTCTGTGCCTACGAAAATCTAGTGATTCCTCCGAGATTCGCTCACCAATGATCCTGGAACGTCGTGCTCGAGGAAAAGACGATGACGACGAGATAGAGGACACAGCGGAATGCGAGTCTCTAAGCGAGGCGTGGGTCGCGAATGAAGTTCCAGGTGCCAGACGTTGTGCTGCATTCGAGCGGTTTAATGCATCTTTGGCAAGGAGTCCTGCGAAAGGTTTAGGCAAAGACGAAGGCCGAGTCGAACGCGGGGCAGAGAACATTGAATGACGACGCTGAAGGGTTCATTGTCGGAATCTCGACTGCGAGAAGCAATGACCCGCTCGCCTTGACCCAGAGAGCTAACCGGTAATCGTGAACTGGTAGGCCGTGAGCGCAGCGGTTAAACGGCGTCCGGTGCATTACGCGAGCGAGTCGTTCTCTTACGCAATCGGAGCGACGACCGCGCCTCTTGCTGGATGCTTCCAGCGAAGTTTATTCTCAGAAAGTTGCCGATGTCCAATATCAATTGTGAAAAACCGAAACTTCAGAGTTTTGAGGAATGGCGTGATTACACTTTCGCATCGAGGCGACTTGTCCGACTTGTACGCATCTATGTATGTATCTGTCTTAGCCGAGCCCATCTCCATTGTGCTCCATACACGTCGTAGATATTCAATGTACATATTCAGCTATTTAAATATTGAACAGTATGCCTCTCGCTCATACGTCAGCCGTTAACGGTACCAACAATCAGTTTCACGCGGAAACATTCCTTTTTCGGATAATCGGATTCTGGGCTGACTTACGCGTTTCGCTGCCATCCTTACCAATGGAGAATCATCATCGATGCTCGATCTAGCGCGCGCTAAACGGAGAAACTTTCAGTGAATCTGCTCTTGCGCTATCTCAAACGAATGTTTCCTCCGACCAGAAGAGGTCGGTCGGATACGCCGACACGACGGGCGCGATAGGATCGGCAGAGGAAGAGTGCCACAGCTAGCTTCGGGATCCTTCGAGAGAGGCAGCCCTTTCCCTGGAACGGCTGCTGTAGGCCACAGCGGGGCGGGAGGATCCGGGGGTCGTCCTTGACCGTAAATACCAGATGGGTCTTGGGACTCTTGGGGTCGATGAACGGATGCATCTATAAGGTTCACACTTCAAGCATTCACTGCATTTACCGTAGCACGCTTAACGCTACAGCTGGATTGGCTTGAGCGGCGAATTCAATGCTCACGAGTAACTTGGATCGAGCTCAACCGGAAGTCCGGTGCGCTTGATCATAAGTCGTCAAAGAGCCAGGAATGCGGATCGAAGAATTCGGCACCCCGGACACAGGATGAGTCAGACTTTCGAGACGTGTATTACGGAGAAACGAAATCTCTTTACTCTCATTTCGTGTTTGAGAAGAGACTTTCTCTTCTCTGATGTCGTGTTTACGTAAGATTCCTATACTACCAGCTAGTCAGGTGCCACTACTTTACTACTATAAATATATATATATATATATATATTGTCGATGCTGCTGCTGCTCCTGCGGTTGTCTGTAGATATACTCTTCTATGAGAGAAAGAGGGGTAGAGAGAGAGAGAGAGAGAGAGAGGGAGGGAAAGGAATTGACTAATTGTAAGTGAAGGAAACGAATGACACAATTAAAAGGTACTCTATTTTTTTCGACGGCCTTCCTTATAAAATTGATACGGGTGTGCCTCGTCTTCTCGATCGCTTCGTGTCTCTAGAATGTCGTTGCGCCGATACTTGGTAAGCGGTACGTTCACCACCTCGTAGTTGTGCCCAGAAGAGTCCTGGGCGACCTTCTTCAGGCCGACGATCGCTGCGAGGATGAGGCTCATGAGACTGAGGACGACCGCCTTGCCGCTCAATACAGCTAAAGCCTTCAGAGCGACCGGAAGCAGAATGGACTTGATCAGCAGGAAACCAATCACCAGAGGCAACACGTATTTCCCAAACTTTGCCTTCTTCCGCTTTCCACGAGCTGTCGAGTATCGAATGCATGAAATTGGCGTTAGTGTATCTACTTCTTCCTAATTATCGTACGTTCGTTCAACGGTCACAGCGGGTCGCACGTCCGATATCTCGTCCTGCGTGTGACGCAGGTTTACACGTGGAGTAAGGAGCATATATTATTTAAAAAATCCTGATTGAAATAAACAAAGCGCGCGCGATATCTCTGAGTATTTTCTAATGTGTTTTAGCCACTTGTACGGTGTACCCACCTTCTACCGTTATTCCGGAGTTTACAGGCGGGTTATGCCCTGCGAGAAGAAGAATTCCTTCTTGCGGCTCAACTTGAGCGGCATCTTCGTCAATGGCGACATCCTCCTTAAGAAGAAACTGGCGAGGTCGAATTGGGTAAAGATCCGGGCGTGCGTCCGGCAGGACCGAGTGCGACGCTAGAGACGTCGTCGTTGACAATTCCATTAGAATAAGCGTCGCGATGCACAAAGACGCATCAAAGTGCGAGACGCCGATCATTGCGAAGGACTTCTCTATCCCTTGATGCAGAGGCCGCTACCGTTAGCGCAACCGATGACACGTATTCGTAAAAGAGAAACATCAACTGACTCGGATACTCCTTGAGTAAATAACTTTATATAGGGTTCCGGCGAAACAGTGGAAGGAGCGATGCCAAGTCCCGTCACCATCTGACGGTACTGACGCGTGACGCCCGTGACGCCCGTGACGCCCGTGACGCCCGTGACGTCAATTCGGAAGGGGAGGACGATCTTTCATTCTCGTTCCCATAGATCCACCTACTCCTTCCCGTGTTTCTCTTCTTCCTTCCGCTCGTTCACGTTCCCCGAACCTTTCTTGAATATCCCCTAATAAACACTTCTGTCGGTCGATGACTTGACTGACGTAGAACCAGTGGAGTACAACCGTTTCGAAATTCGAAGACCTCGAAGACCGCGCTGGAGCAACGGCGTCTGCTCTCAGCACCGTGGGAGAATGTGCCGCGCACTCCAGTATCCCCAGTGATTTTCTCAGCGGTTCACGCTCGATTTGTTTCGGCGAATCGTTTCGCAATCGGAGATCGAAGATGTCAGTGGTCTCGTAAGCGTGGATGCGACTCTTGCTACTGGAACTTGAGAGAGAGAGAGAGAGAGAGAGAGAGAGAGAGAGAGAGAGAGGGAACAGAAAGGGGGTAGGATCTCAGGGGAGAGAAGATTCTTCTCTCTTCCGCGAGGAAGCCGCGGCATTGACACTGCCTCGCACTCGTTCCAGCAATTGTCAAGCCAGCGTGACGACACCCGGGTGGCATTACGGTGCAGCAGCGAAGGGAGGATGTATCAACCGACGCAACCAGTCCAAGTGGAAGGTATTACACGTGCTACGGGGAGAAGCATCTTAAGATCATTAAATATTCTTCTAATTAGGGAATTAATATTTGAATGTCAGTCGTTGACGTCAGCAGTTGCATTCTCTGTGAATGAAGAAAATGAACGGATGGGCAGAAAGAAGCAGCCGAAGGAAACACGTAATGCTCGACTGGCATCTGAATAAAACTGCACCAATATCTGGGTTGTGCACGTCACGCGTCACACACCGCAGCTTCTACTAATCGATATCAATTACTATTTGTTCATCGCTCGTCCCTCGTCCTTCGTTGCCCGTCGCCAAGATGCTCGAGACCACGAGGTTTCTAAAACCCAAGTCCCCTGTCGCTGTCCTCATCGGCGGAAGCGTGGACTTACGCTGGCCTGGAATCAAGCCACGGCGTCTACTTAAAATGGACCATTCTTATGTCTATGTAGTTATCTAGCAATGGCACGAATAGCTGTAGAGCGTGACCCCAAAAAAATAAGGAGAAACGACTGTTATTAGGATCCTCCCTCGCCTCCTTCACCGCCCTCGCCGCCCTCTCGGCCATCTCGTGGTCGGTCGGTCGCGTTCTGTTCGAATGAAGAGGGCACTTTCCGAAGGCATACGACGAAACATATCATTACGCGCACCCGTTGTACGTTTGAGGATCGCGGTAGCTGCAGCCTCGACCGATCGACCGATCGACCGATCGAACGATCGACCGAACGACCGAACGATCCATCATGGTAACCACCATGTCGGCAACGTCGGCCACGTCGGCAACGTCGGCCACGTCCGGCACGTCCGGCACGCATGTGCCTTGGGATAATTTTTCACGGACCGCCAATTTTCTCGATAACCGAAGCGTGTCCGCGGCTCGGCCTGACTCCACGCAACCTGATGCGATTCTATGAGACTCGCTACTCGCTCGCCGCATCGAGTCCCGCTTCTTCAGTTCTCGGTCGATCGCAGAACCGCTTCTCTCGACGGATTTACCTTTCGCTCGTCTCTTCCCTTCTTCCTGCCAAACTGGCTCTTTGGTATTGGCCCAGTTCGATCCTCCCTTGATCCTACCCCTTGCCGTGCGACGCTAGTGCCTAAAGGAGAAACGGTAGCAAGGCTAAAGGTTCGAAAATCGAGGCCACAGCGTCCCTTGGATATTCGAGTTCCCAAAGATTTCGAACGTAGTCTATAGAGAGAGAGAGAGAGATGTCTGTGCTCGAGTGACCCAGAGGCTGAACCTCGCGAGGAAAATATCCTGACTTTGGACTTTGGACTTTGGACGCCGATCGTTCTTGAAGGAGCAGGCGATCGTATGATGGAGAGACTTCTCTAAAGAGACTCAAAGAGACACGTACTTCGAGCTGCCGGAGTTTCCAGTGCTGTTGGGAGCAACGCAGTTGATTTCATTGAAAAAATATTTGAGAAACACAATGTTGAAAGCAGTGCGTTTTCTTGTCGTTCTGCTGACTGTAAAGTCCGTAGTTATAGTGTCGCTCGCGATTCATGCTGAAACTTACGACGGGCCGTCCGCTGGAAATCAGAAGTCGAGAAAGGATTGTGCGACGAGTTCAAATCGCGAAAGGATCGCAGGACAAGCATCTTGGATCGTGCCAGTAACGAAGAATGCCTCGAGGGAGCCGAGAGCATCCAAGATGTCGTCGTTCTCGAATGCAGCCAGGGCCCCTGCGAACGGACTTCTATTGGCAGGTACGTCCGTTAGCGCGTGGGCACTGCCAGATGCACCGAACGTCATCAGATGTTCGGCATGGGAATTTCATGAAGTAACAGGATGAAATTGTATAATTATAGGAATGGAGGAGAGAAGGAAGAAGGACAGACTGGAGCAGGCCATGATACCTCTGCTGGTTGCCTACAAACTAAAGTTTGCAGCCCTCGTCCCGACGATCTTGGGAGGACTGGCCCTTCTCGTCTCAACGACGGCTCTCGCTGGTTTCTTCTTTGCCCTCTTCGCAGCCGTTCTGGGTCTGAAGACTCACTGAAATTAGGTGCTTAGGGGGACATACTCAAATACAAATACAAAACTAGCGAAATAGCCAAATATAGACAGAAACGGGTAAGACCCTTTATTTCGTAAGGAATCCAGCAGGCTACGTCTGCCAACGTTCGGCCTTAAAACACTATTTCATAACCGCGAATGTCTTGTGAGAATGTTCTTTCTCTTGATCGCTTACATTCGCTTCTGCCGTACCTCGAGAACGCGTCATTATCTCGCTTTGCGCGAGGGGCATGGAGGAGAAACAGATTGTTGCCGGTCGATCTCTCCTTTGAAAGGTGCTTCCTTCGACGTGAGTCGCGTGAACCGAATCGCATGAAGCGCGTATTGTCGCGTCACGGGACTCTCCTCGGTAATCTCTGCCATTTGGTACACAGCAATAAACAGCATCCGTCTCCTTGACTCGCTTTCTTTCTGCATCCTTACTCATTAAGCGTCACCGCGCACTGTCACCTTCACCAACGTTTTCGTCGTTTTCGTCGTCGTCGTCGTCGTCGTCGTCGTCGTCGTCGTCGTCGTCGTCACCACATCACGAGCACCATTACCACCATCACCGTCGCGGTTATCTTGGCAGTAACCGCGATTACTGATTGCCCACAATTAATCCTCGATTATCGGTCATAGGGTGTCGATCGATGGTCTTGTGTCCAAAAGAAGGCAACAATCAGTCGGAATAAATATAGAGTCGATATGGGCACGCAGCCTACGCTCAATAGAATCGCCAAGGTTGGATAAGATTTTAATATATATAAAGGTAGTAGGTAAAGGTGGGAGCAATGCAGTGGGAATAAAAATTCAGGAAATAAAAAGACGCAGGCAGGTAACAGTAAGAGGAAGGAGGATAATGAGTATAAAAAGGGAAGGAGACAGTTGGCGACCATTTAAACGGAAGTCGCGAACTGGCGAACGGATGCCGCAGGCGAGGCTGTCGCTGCATTTCGTCCTGCGTAGGCCAAATTCTGAGCAAAGTCTCGATCGTCGAGGCGATGCGAGGGTGGCGGCGCTGCGATCGCATCGAAACTTCGCATGCTCCTGTCCCATCCGGACGAGGGTTGTTGCCAACCACCATGATGCACCTCGTGACCACCTCCCTGCTTCTGACTGAGAAGTTTCTTCAGGCCAATTATGAGCGAGAGGACCAGCGCTATTTTGCTGATGATCAGTGCCTTTCCTGCCAGAAGGAAGAGGACGCCGATCGCGAGAGGAATCATCGCGGCCATTTTCATTCCGAGCCCCATCATCATCATTCCCATCATCTTCTTCGACTTCCCACGACCTTCCTCAAGGCTTCTCCTGAGCTCGGCTGGACTCATCTTCGGTAGTCTGATCTGCATGGTGAATCCGTTCAAAAGTCCTGCCAATCTTTCGAGAAGAATATCGTTAAGGATATCCTCTGTCGACGCGCTTCCTGCCCGTCCCGAGTCCCCGCGTTCACGCTCGGCCTCAAGATCAGTCTCTGCCAGGTTCACGGCCGCGGAATCAGTTGACCTCACAAGTTCCATGTTCTCGGCGATCGATAGGTTGTCGATGCGGCCTAGTCTCTCGAGAAACGTGATGGCTTTCTTCTTGAGACAGATTGACAGTCCCACGTTGCGTTGTTGGCAATCTTCGTAAACGCGATACATGGCACGGTAGCTTCTATCGAAGGCGCTGCTCTCGTCCGTCGAGGGTGAGCTCGAGGAGGCGCCGGCGACGTCGCGCAGACACGTCCCCAGAATCAGCAGGAGAACTGCCCACTTTTTTGCATTTGGATCCATCAACATGTTTTCCGTAATACGTGTCCTTCTATAATTTGCTTGGATTTTTTATTGGCGCACTCGTCCGTTCCTCTCGTGCACTCCTGGCAACTGTTCGAAGGCCGATGGTTTCGGCGAAGAATCACGTTGACTTGAGCGTCGGCAATTAAGCGATTTCTCAGAATGCAGAATGAACTCGTTGGAGCCTTGGAGAAAAGGTCGCGCACCAGCGGCTTCCTTTGTGGACTGGCGGCTAAGGATCCACTCGAGGCTGATATATACCAGGAAGGACAGCGCTTTAGTGGCAAGGCCGTAAGGGGTAAGTAAACCTGCTCCCACGTACGGGCGACTACGTGGTCGAGGGACAGTGCGGAGTTGAGGAGCCGAGGAGCCGAGGAGCTGAGAACGGGATGCTTCGCGATCGCATCCGATTCGAGCGCGGGGATCTGACCTTCCTGACACACAGACCCACTCAGCGTCCGCTCTTCTCTATACGATGGAGGAAAAAAACCTGCAAAGCAGTACGAGAAGCGCGCCGCGTCGTGCCTCTCGTGCCTCTCGTGCCTCTCGTGTCACGGATCCCACGCTCGCGGACCTTCCTCCTTCCCTTCTTCTTCGTCCTCCTATTCTTCTCTGAGCCTTTGGTGCTCTCTCACAGTTCTTCCATGAACCAGCCCTTGCGGTCTTATCTCTCCCTCTCTCTCCATCTCCCTCCATCTATCTAGCTAGCTCGCTATATATATGTCTCCCCCTCCCGTGCGACGGACAAGTAAACAATTGGCAAAATGGAACAGAAGGATGCACTTTCATGAAATTTGGCAAGTGCGTTGTCGTGTATGTGGAAATTGACTTTTACTATTTCATACGTTTGGAATCTGTAATCTTGACCCCTACGAGAAAAGTTCCATGTCTACTTTCCGCTCTGCTCACGAGATAGCTCGATTTCAGCCACGAGCCCGTTCGGTCAAAAAGATGGAGAAATTGCCACATTAAAGATCTCAGTAAAATTAAGTGGCACTCCGAGCCAGTAAATATCGTCACGAATTTAAAGCGCTTCTGTCTAGCGTATCATCGTACGTACGTTATGGTCTATGTGAAAACTGTACAGCTGGGAATTCTTGTTCGGTAAGAGAGCAAGCGTAGCGCATATGCCAATGGAATCGTTCCTTTGGTGTCGCTCGGCCCAGTGGCACACAAAGCAGCGAAAGAAGATGAAAAGATATGCCTGACGCGAGAACACTTAGAACTCGGCGCTCACGATCGGCCGAGCAGCGATTCAGCCTTTTTCGACCTGCTTCTCTACTTTTCGAATATCGCACGTGGACTCTTTCAACTTCTTCGCCTTCTTCTTCTTCTTCTTCTTCTTCCTCTTCTTCCCTTCCAAACTCTCGAAGAGTCGCGATCAACCTTAATCGCCTGTCCTTCCTTTTCCATATACCTGCTCTCGTAATTCTCTTATTGTATCTCGTCACGTCGTCACGTCGTCACGTCGGTTTCCGAGAGTAGAACGTAGGTAGAAGATGGAGAGCGTCTCGATGACGATGCGCTCGAATCATTGACGATCATCGGAAGGAGCGAAGAGGAAATACGACGGACCATTATTCGTCTTTCGTCTTTCGTCCCAGCAATCTTGACATTCGTGTTTCAGGTACGCTTGGCTTTAAGACCACCACTGTGCGGGTACGTCTTCGGGAAGTCGGTCACGGTGGATGTGAGAGGTCGAGACAAAAGGAAGGACGAGGTGTGATATGTGCTACCTGATTTTACAACATGTGCGCTGAACTTTATGTTCGATAAAAAAAGCAGACATTGTCACGAAGCGCAGAATTCTTAGTATTAGACACTAAAGTCATTGGTGTAGCGCGGTGGCGTTCAGGTCGGTTGTCTGCTGGCAGCTTCGAAAGATCTTTGCCATCCTCCGCCACTACCGCCGCCCCCATATCCACCGCCGCCGTAGCCGCCGCCGTGATGTTCGGCAGCCGTTGCGTATATCACTTCGTGGCCGCCCCCACCGCTCGAAGCCAACTTTTTCAGGCCGATTATCGCACTGAGCACCAAGGCAATTTTCGCGGTGAGGAGAGCCGTTCCGGCAAGGAAGGCTATCTTACCGAAAGCCAGCTGGGCCAGCATTCCTGAAAATTTATTTATCCTTCGATCGAGTCCATACTGCGCACGTTTATTGAAATTCTGTAAAACTTACCAGCCATCGCGAGTCCTCCGAGAAGCAGCACTCCGCCGTATTTTTCCTTCTTCTTGCGTCCTGTAAAAGTTATGCCCATAAAGTTAATGTACAGTGAGGAACTTTTTGAATAGTCTCTCCTCGACAGGAGGAGCAGTTGCGTGACGAGGGGGAGAGGGAGAGAGAGAAGGAAGAGAATGACAGTATGGCGGATCCATAGGAGATTTAGAAAAACGGCCAAGCCCTCGCCGCGGGCGGACGATCCGATGCGAAGTATAGACGGGAAGGGAAACTGACTCTCGACTGGTTGAGGAGACTGGAGGGCAGGACGGGGCTGCTCTGGGAATCGATTTACCCTGAAATGCGTTTCCGGGAATGGCGAAACGAATACTTCTGGAGGCCAAGTACTCGTAGACCTTCCGATCAAGCTGGTCGTCGAGGCTTCTACTTGTAAGATTGGAGACCGTCGCGTCTTGGGATTCCATCTCGGATTGCAAGATGTCCTTGGAGATGGAGCTGGTTTCGGGATCGCGAGAGATCGTCAGAAAGTCGTTCAGCACGTAAACCGAATCATCCTCGATGGCCGAGTCGATGAAATCCAGCGCCCGTCGCTTGAAACATTTGAAGACGTTCTTTTGCTCCGGACACCTCTCGAATAGACGACTGTAGTCCGGGCTGCTGGCAAAGCTCACACCGAGCAGCGTCAGCATCCCCAGGAGTTCCATCGTTCTGGCCCTCATCAGGATTCACGATCGTCGAAACTCTCACGGGATATTCCGAGAGCCAAACACGCCTCACGATACTCGAGAATACTCGCGCGCCTACTGATTCCGATTGCCTTGTCTCGGCGTTTCTTGTTCTCGGTTAGGCCGTTGACGTTAACGTGGGCATGGACGCAGGCGCGGGCGTCCTGGGTTGCCAGCAAAGAAACGACCAAACGACCAAACGACCAAACGACCAAACGACCAAACGACCAAACGACCCGTACGTCTCGAGGCTTAAATATATATAGAAGAAGCGCCACCTCCACCCACATCGCACCTGGTGCACGCGCTGTTTAACGCTCCGACAAAGGCTTCGCAGAGCAGGACGATGTCGTACAGCCACGGCGGAAAACATCCGTCTGACCCGCATGCCAAACGAGCCTCGAAGAAGCACGGAGGACTGCGTAGACTTCCGGAAGAGCCACCGCATCACTCTATCCCACTCCTCTTCATAGTCTGCACCGACTGCTCCTCTCCGTATCCGTATTCGGATCCGCGAGTCTTCGTCCGCATTAACTTTTATCGAGGACTGTGGCCGCTGTTAATGGGATTCCTCGGAGCGTGAATCGTGCTCACAGGGCTGGACTGCTGTGCACGCGCGGATCTTCCCGCGTATGCTCATCTAGGTGACGTGGGCCAATTCTCTCGTCGATGCACGCGGGACGAGAGCCGCGGTACAGTTAGAGGAAGGAAGCACGCCAGAGAAGGCGGGAGCTTCGGAATTCTTATCGCGAACTCTTATGAATTCCCCTGCCTATTATCAGCCCTGCCGGAAGAATCGATTAACTGATTGTGCAGAGTATAACGATCGCGGACTCTGCGAACTCGGCTACGGCTCGAACTACGATCGAACTGCGACATGTTCGATAGAGTTCGCGTCTGCTGCCGATGAATCCGACTCCGAATCCGTTAATCTGACACTATAGAGGGAAAACTTGTGGGAAGGAAGTTTGACTAAAAGAAAGAGACAGCAAGAGCTGGCAACTCAGTACTATTAATTTTATTAAATATCATGTCTAGTTTCCCTCAATCCGTTCTCGACCATGCGAAACCCTTCCTCTCCCGTTCCGGCTGGCTCGCGCCTCCGTTTCCTTCTCCGTGATAGACGTTCACAACTTCCCTGATGACATGCTGCTGCTGCTTATAAGGAGCAAAGTCAGCCGTGTGTATCTCGCGGTATGGCAAGTACACCGGACTCTCCTGGTCCACGTGATACGCCGAAGAGCCACCATCAAATTGGTGACCGTGGCCATAGTCGAATCCATAACCGTTGTACCCTTGGAGCGTGGGCCGTGACTGTCCTTGCGTCCCGCCGAAGAGAGAACTCCAGCCCAAGAGACCACTCACCAGGGTGGCTACTTTCGCCACGAGGAAAGCCTTCTTCGAGAGAACGAGGAGTGCTCCAAAAAGCAGCGGTATCAGGGTCGCCAGGTTGAACTTGAAGCCCAGCAGGAAGGGCAGCAGTAGGCTCTTTACGAGCATGCGTCCTGAAAGAATGTGAGACGAAAGGACTGGATGAAATCGTGCCGATTCTCGCCGATTTTACGGTAGAGCGGACGAATGTGCTGTCGCCTGGCAGCGATTCGAGAAAGCCTCCGCGCGACATCCGGCTGAATCGGTTATAAACGTTAAACTTCAGTTATCCAGGCTGTATGGTTCGTGTCCCGGATGTTTGACCGGCGGAGACGCTCTGCGACTCACCAGTTCCGAGTTCCCTCTCGCTGTAGGCATTCGTCGTTCTCTCGTCCAGCACGAACTCGAGGATGCCATGGCCGTTGAGCGTGGGGCCAGCCTGCATCACCAGACCCGGATAGACTCCGTCCAGTTGCCATTTGAGGTTTCTCTGTTCTATGAGCCGAGCCGCAGCCTGCACGACGTTTCCAAAGTTCTTTGGATCGTAGTCGAGGTCGAGAAGGTCGCGCGCCTCTTCGTTGGCCCGCTCGAGTCGTATCTCCCCAAAGTCAAGCTCATCGTCCTCGTTTAGCTTTTGGAGGACCCCGAGAGCTCCACGGTTTGCGCACTCAATGGTGCCATGACTTCTGTCGGCGAGACACGAGTCCAGGCTTTCCTGGAATGCACCTCCCACCGAACGGGGCTCCTGCTTGACCTGCGCCCTCGTGATCTTTGGGGTCGGGTCCATCACAACGGCTACAGCACTCACCGTAAAACCTATCAGGAACCACCAACCTTCGACGCGCAAGCCTTCGAGCTTATGTACGCGATGCATTTTCACTGAATCGCGCTCGTTTTTGGCCACACGTAACAGCAGTGTATCCTAGTGAGACTGAGGTTGCGCCCTGGGCCAGCAGCGGCCTATATAATAGCGACGTGCTCGGTGCTCTTCACACGCCATGGAGCAGCGCGATCGGTTTCACTTTGAAAATCTAGCCGAGCAGCGAAAGTGCTCTCTTCCCTTCGTGTGTGTTTTGCCCACAGGCACATCCATACGCGGCATTGTAATCTCTGTGCTTCCTTCGATACGCCGGATGCACTCTTCGCGCGGACGAAAGCAAAGTTCCGCTGTAGCAGATTCTTAAGCGAACGACCTCGAATCGCTGGAAACGTCTCAGAAATCAGTACGAGCATCGCACGTTCCTCGCACGTTCCTCGCACGTTCCTCGCACCTTTAATGTCTCGCTACCAGCATCAATTGTCTTACTTCCTCCCTTGATATGCATTTGTTGAAGCAATGCAAAGAAGAACAAGAGGCCTGTATGCGATTACACAAGAGACGTTCATTCTTAAAGTCCTTTTTTTTTTCTTTCCTTTAACACCCTTTATTGTAATAGAATATGAACATAGGTGAAGACGATATTTATATAAAATTACTCTTTATTCATAAATAAGATAAATTACAAAGGATATCCGATAGCTCGGTATAAATAATTGTTCAGCAAAATTATTGCGATTTTTGATGGGTGGGAATGGAATCGCTCAACGTTTAGAGTTCGTTCGGATATCGTTCAAGAGATCCCAGAATATTACGTCCAAATCGTCACAGTTAAGTTGTTAAGGAGTGTTTTTTCATCCTCCTGGTTCTGATCCTTACGCAGTATCTTATCTTTGTCTTAGTATTTGTCGTGGTCCTCGTGGTCGTCGCAGTAGTGAGTGTCGCGGTGGTCTGAAGATGCGACGATACGTCGTATTCAGGCTCGTTTCAGCTTGTGTCCGTATCAAAGTGATGAACCATTCGGGCACAGGACTGACTCTATGAATTGCACTTCCGGGATTATGAGATGGCGAGATGGCAGGAGACGATAACATTGAGCTTAGTTAGCGGGCTTGTACGCATTGTAGGCCAAGTCAGAACCAGAGGATCTCGCCCAGCCATGATGATCGTGATGCTCCTCGTGGCCGTAGCTGTGTACCGGATGTGCGACGACGTCGTAGCTTTGACGTTTCGCGCCCAGAAGCTTCTGAAGGCCAATTATCAAACTAATGATCAAAGCGATCTTGCCAATTACGAGAGCCTTGAAAGCGATTAGGGCCAGGGCTCCGAGGGCGATGGGGATCAGAGCGGCGGCCTTCAGCTTGAGCAGCAGGAGGATTGGCAGAAGGGACTTGACGATCTTCTTCTTCTTACCGCGAGCTAAAAGCGATCGAGGCATTAATGGCAATCGGTGACTCGACGGATTTACGTCCTGTCGAATGTCAATAGCGAAAATCGTAATTCGAGCAAAGGCATCGTGCATCGCCCCGGAAGAGAGCGACGATGGACAGCTGAGCTATCCGAGCCAAGTTGTAATATCGTTTAAAGAGGAATACGGAAGAGAACTAACCTTCGTCGAAGGAGCGTGAGATTTCCTCGGGAACGGAGAGCTCGACGGTGTGCGTCGAGAGGAACTTGGCGGCACGTTCGAAGAGGGCCTCGTCGACGGCAGCTTCCCTTGCTTCCGTTTCACTGGGCAGGGAAGCCTCGATGTCATTGAACGACCTCGCGGCATCGGCGCGGCTGAAACAAACGTTAGAGCCACTTAAGATCGAACAGCTCCTCGCTCTTTAATTTCTTTGGACGAGCTCGATCATTCATCGGATCCTCGGAGATCAACGACGAGGCTGCAAGGCGCCGACACATTCGCGTACGATGTCACTGCCTATCAGAGGCCACGTACTCTGATCACGTAGGCTCACGTAATTATGTCACGTATGGTCACGTAAAGGCGCACACTAAGGTCCACTTTGGCAACTGGGCTTCCTTACCTGTCCTTCGCCTTGGACTCTTCGCTCTGGACGATCTTGAGGCCGTCAATGAGGGTGATGTCCGCCGAACGAGCAGCGCGATCGACGATTCTAAGGGCCTTGAGCTTCAGGCAGACAGCGAGATCCTGTTCGGAGGCGCAGGAGCCATAGACCTCGAGAGCATCTCCGATAAGAGACGAGGAGGAGGACGAGGAGGATGATTCCTGGGGCGCTGGAGCCCCGAAGGTCGCGACCGCAAAAAGCGCAAGAATCACTAAGCTCCGGATCATCGCGATATCTCCAATGCTGCTCCTTGACAGAGGGACGATTGACTCGACCTACTCGTATCTACTCTTACTCTTCGTTCGCTGGAGGCGAGCTCACGTTTACTCTTACTCTTGATCTTTTGGTCCACTGCGACTTCGAGAGCGGAAGTAAGTTTCAACCTTTTTTTTGCTCCTTGATCACCGACGCTCGTATCGACACTGCTCGAAAGAATCTCGATGCTGCCTTTTATCCTCGACGCGAAAGGGGCCCGCGTACGTTTTTGAAATTTTGATGGCCCCCACTCCGCACCGAGCTATTGGTTCGTCGCCGCGCGGCATTTGGTCGCTCCGTCCGGCCGTCCGTCCGTCCATCCGTCCATCCATCTGCCCATCCGTTGCTCCGTCCAGCAACCTAGCCACCTATGGACCCATCCAGCCATCCAGCCATCCAGCTCTCGAGTCGTTCAGTCATTCGACAATATAGGTGGCAGCAAGCATGCGTGCTTGCGCGGGTACGTGCGTGAATTCGCACGTGCGTTTGCGAAGACGCCCGAGAGAGCCAATCGAGCCTCAATGAGAATGGACGTCGAGATTCAAGAGGAGCTCACGAAACGGCCCAAAGGATCGTGCAAGGAAGACGTGTAGGAAGCCTCCCGGAATACATTCGAGTACACGCATACGTGCGAGCCAGCCCACGCAGCAGCAACCCGTGCGAGCGCTCCGCGCGTTACTTACGGACGCACAGCGACTCACTTCCCGCGACGTCTTGAACCCGTTTGACTCCAGCGACAGTTCATAAGATTTCGGATTTTGTTCCTTTGCCAGTTTCCATTGTCTCTCTGGCGATCCTCGTCTACAGAGAGCAGAAGTCAGCGCGATTGCGCCGCTGCGTATTAATTTATTCCGGAGAAACGTAGCGAGAAACGTTTAACGGTTTCCTTTGGAATGTGCAAGAGAGACCCGCGGCCCTCTTGGAGTTGGGATCGCGCCAGAGCTCCGCCATCGAACACGGCCGCGCCTTCCGATGACCCCGAAGACCCCCACCCCATTGGCTAAGGTTCATCGTCGTCTCCCTGAGTACCCAACACCCTCCCGAGCGGGAGGTAGTCGGTAACAAGAAGCAAGGACCAACCGAATGACTAAGATATGTCCTGTGAGAGACAATTAGGAGAAGACAGTTGCGCGACTTGAGGATCGAGGCACTCAAAGATACAGCCTGATCTAAGATATTGTCCTTGGCAACGAAGTCACCGAGTTAGCGACGCGTTGAATCATTCCCATAGAGACTTTCGATCGTTTTTGGTGTCGCGTTCGCGTTTACATTTGAATTTACGGGGCGCTGCTAATAGTTCGAGTACACTACTGTGGCCGAACAGGAAAGAACACTTTCGAACGCGCGCTGTTGCGGTGAGAGTGAACTTGCGGAAGATCGAGGTCAGGTCAAGGCCCTCGTGGAACGCAACCACTCTGGATACCTTTGGATACCATCTCGTTAGCCCCTCAAATTCTTTCGGCAATTTCGTCTGCATAGTGCTCTGTGCGTCATTGCCTATGCATTGCCCTGACTTACGTTGATTATTAAGTGACAACTGAGAGAAGCTGAGAATAGTGAGGGAGGCAGAGAGAGAGAGAGAGAGAGAGAGAGAGAGTCTCTCTCAATATCTCATCAGCATTCAAAATTCAAAGTAGGACTCGTGCTCGCCAGCAGGCAACCGCCAAGAGGCAACCGACAACCGGCACATGTGCTCGAAGGAGCGCACCGTGCGAGTGCGGATCGACAGCTTTTTCTTCATCAAGGTAGAGAGTGTTATAGGCACACCTTGAAAAGAACGCTTGGTAAGGATGCTGACTGGTTGACTGGTTGACTGGTTGACTGGCTGACTGGCTGACTGGCTGACCGGCTGACTGGCTGACTGCCGCCCGGCTCAATGACCTGGTTTACTTCCACTGCAGTATCTCGGTGTGCGCGCGTCTCTCTTCACGGAGAGGCACCGTGCGTAAGATGCGTGTGGTGCCTCTGTAATGCGTGTGACCCACCAACTCTTCGAGTATCTAGGTAAGAGCGCAGAGTACGTAGTAAGACAGTCTTACGGAAGGATTCAAGATAGGACTTAGATATGTCGATAACTAAGGTGGCAGCGCTTGTTCGCCTCGCGTTGGTATTCCGTATCATGATTGGTACGGCATCGCAATTAAACAAACCAGTAGGACGCTGACCAAATCAATAAACTACGTTTAAATTTGTATAGCTTATGCTTGCGAGTCTCGCGCGGAACACTGCCAATTAAATTGAAGGTTCTATTTCAAATTTCATTAATTTATTCAGTACCTATACACGTAGCATGTGCATGCTACAAAATTATATCTAAGATTATACAGTGTATTAATCGGTATATGGAATAAATAAATACTGAAGATCATTGAGCTTTACGAAATGAGTCGAACTTCGCTGTTTCGATTCAAATCGAATACTATTGAAGGGACAATGGAGGCAACGAGGTGCAGTGATGTAGGACTAGGAAACGAAGGTAAAGAGATAGATGCGGACAGAGAGGAGAGGAGAGGAGAGAATGAGAATTGGACAGAGGGAGAGGAAGCGTGGAAAGACCAGACGCCAGTCTGGGATGAGAGGGTTCGGATTGACGAAAGACTAGGTTGCGAATGCGGCGAGAAGGTTAAGGAAGTCGCGATAGCCAGACGCAATGGGCAGCCTTATTGCTGATTGATAATTGGCGACGTTGACAATTGCGATTCCACTGGCTGCGAAGTTAGGCTACGTTCTAAAGAGAGGAAGGTTTATAGGCGGAATAAGCCAGCTCGTGGCTGGATCTCGCCCAGCCGCTGGATCCATGCCCACCGGCTACTTGGACAACTTCGTGGCCACCGCCATCTCCGCCGCCGGAGACGAGTTTCTTTAAGCCAATTATGGATGCCAGGACGAGGGCCAGTTTGCTAACGATCAGCGCTTTACCGGCGAGGAGTGCAAGAGCACCAAGAGCCAAGGGCACGAGGGTTCCGCCGATGAGCAACGGTATGGCCAGCAGACCACCCATCTTTTTCTTTTTGCGACCTGCAAACGGAACATGAACAAGATTAAACCCATCGAGCCCATGAAACCCATGAAACTCATTATCATTGTATTCGGTACGGTAATAGCCATCTTCATGGCGATCGCGTTCGTGAATATCCCTGATATCAAGTATCGAGTTATCTCCTTACCTTCCTCCGTGAGACTGCGCTGGAGCTCCTCGACATTCGGCAGCTTCAACTTGAGCGTGTGACTCTCGAAAAAGCCAATGATCCTCTCGAGAATCATCGAGTTGAGAGCGTTTTCCTTATCTTCGAGGGCTCTAGGGAGACTGGACTCTATCTGTTTTTCGGTGATTGCCTCGTCGAGATTCTCCACGTTTCCTCTGGCACTGCTCTTGTCCTTCTCCTTGTCCTTGTCCCTCAGGAGGGTGACCCCCTCGGCAATATTGAGCTGCAGGCTCCGCGACGCCCGGTCCATTGCGCTGAGAAGCTTCACCTTCAGGCAGGAACTCAGTTCCGAGGAAGAACACTCCTTGTAGAGCTGATAGGCAGAACGGAGCTCGCCGAGGAGGCCGCTGCTCGTCGACCTGCCCAACTCATCCTCGACGATCTTCTTGCTATCTGAGCTGCCCGTCGAATCGGCCGACCGCGCGAACACCAGGGCGACCAAGAGAGCAAGGCCAACCCCACGCAAAGAGATCCCCGACATCTTCGGCTTTGGCTTTGTAAAAGCTGCGTAACGCGGCTCCAGCTGCTACTTGACACCAGTTGCCGAATTCAATTGCGAAGGTGCAACTAGCTTACGGGGCGTCACGCGTCCTGTGCAACAACGATATCGAAGGTGTTACGGGATGCGAGGATGCGAGTGCGAGATGCGTTTCTGAGCGCACTAGAAAGACTGTATGTAACGGAAGCCCTGCCCTAGCTCTATATATCTGGTCAGGTGTACTCCGTACCTGGGGATATTCTCCCCTCCATCTGGACAATTTCATACCAGCATCACGAGCAGTTTGTGTTTCAACAACAACAATCACTGAAGCAAAGCAAACTCGAGAGCTGGAGAGACCGACGGACAAACCAATTTAAGAGCGGACCAATCGAGGGAATGGAGACCGAGAGAACGAGAGAACGAGAGAACGAGACGAGGCGAGATCAGAGCAGACAAGGAGAGCAGTGCACGATTAACGACGCGCGAGACGCAAGGAGAAACGCCCCAACCCGCATGTCGACCAGCAAAAATACGAGCAGCCAAATTTCATGTTTTATCCTCTATTAATATCGTTTATCAGCATTCGAAATTAGTTGACGTCGTTTGCCTTGTCAGCCCAAGTGTACATGTAGAATAAAGATATTAATCTACTGATTTAAAAAATGATATTGGGATGAGTTGAAAAGTAAAGATCAAAATGAGAGTGGTCACAAGAAGATGATTTTAACGAGAGTTAAAATGTTTCATTGAAAAGGGACACAAAAGCAAAACTACAGTTCACGGACGCGTCCGCACTGTTCGGCAATTGAATTAACTCTAACTTATTTTCCAATAGAAAGTCGTACACACGATTCCACACATCACTTTTACAACCATCCATACTTCCATTCTTCCCCTTTTTGAAGGACTTTATCGTCGTCGTCAAGTCCTCGTTCGAGCGACTCTTCTATGTATAGTACTTCAATTTACGGCCTCAAATACGCTCGCTTCAACACTCGCTCTACGCACACGCAGCATTTACTCAAGCGTTCCAAAGAGAAAGACTTTTGTCTCGATTCTACGTACATATTTTCACTGGATCAACCTAGGATGCTGCACATCTTGCACATCTTGCACATCTTGTACGCTATCCTCTTTCTCTCTTCTGCGTGTAGATGCGCGCTAAGCAATGTCTGGTAGAGCATCGTAAGCGCAATACGCATCGAGAGATTTACTTGTCGCTCGAGCACGTGGCAAGGGGCTGGATACCCGGCAGCCACGATGACGACGTAACTGGGTCAAACCAAGTGAAAACCGAAGGCGCATGTACGTATGTAGGTAGATAGGTAGGTAGGTTAGATTGGCATGTAGGTGGATAGATGCCGGTAAACCTTCATACATGCAGTAGATGATATGGATGTTACAGTATTAAAACCATATACTTTTTAATCAGCTGCAGATAACGAGAGCTTGCGAGAGACGACTACGCGCAGTTAACAAATTCTCCGACGCCGTGACAGCAGGTATGCAGGACTCGAAAATGAAAAAAAAAGATATGAGGACTCCGAGCAGGACGCGTTTCTCATGTCCCTGGTGAAACTTCTTCCCGACGTGGATCGTCCTTCCCACGTTTATATTGAAACGTAGTACGCAGCTGCGATGGATCATGAACATTTTAAAGCATGCCACGTGGATTGCGCCGATACCCCAAGTGTTGCGGATGCGCTTGTTTCTCCATTTCCTGATGCGACTACGATCGCCACGTCAGGCGGCTAGTATGTCTCGCATGGTTCTGTCCAAATGTTCAGAATCTGCACTCCGGATTCGGGAGTCTCTAGGTTGCGTAACGGTAAACGATGATATCTATCTTCAACAGGTGGACCAACATTTCTCAGTTGTAACGGCATGAAAAAATTATACGTATGGAGTATTTTTCCCACACTCCTTCTTCTTCTTCTTCTTCTTCTCTCGCCACATTTTTCGTCTCGCCTTTCGCCGTTATTCCGCTCTCTACGGCAGAGACTAAACGTAGCGCATAGAAAATTGTTTGGACCGCTTATTTTCAATTAAAGATTTAACGAAAAGAGGACACAGCTACGCAAAGTCAAGAGTGAAAGATTCGCGGCTGCACGTTCACGCAGCCGAATGAATCTCGTCGCCGTATTCGTATTTATGAATTTGAACGTCACGCTCCGTTCAATTGCGAATGAGATCTTCGTGCTGTCCAGCTAAGAGAAACCGAGGATCCTGAAATATTCTTCAAAGAGTAAAGAGTAGACACGTTCTCTTTGGGATGTGGCGCGTGCGCCCTTCGTTTCTCTTTATTAAAAAGAAAATAACATATAAATATTAACAGTTAGAGAACGTAGGAAATAAATAATAGGGTCCCTAAAAGTATGGAGTATTGCGCGGCACTGGTGGTCCGTCCCAACACGGATTCTTCGGCTAGGAAAAGGATGAGGATCCTCAAACTAAAGATGGGTTGGCGGTCGACGTTCAGCGGCTGGCGCAGTCGACAGATGCAACTCGAAATTGACTTTGTTGCGCCGCCTGTTCTTTCGTTTTAAAATGTTGATCTATCAATTTCTCTGCGGCTGGCACAGGCGTCGCTGTCCCCGGCGCAACTGTTATCGGTATCATCGCGACTACACCTCGCGTGACAGGAGTCTATCGTGCCGTGGTAGAAACAATGAAGAGAAACGATAACTCGAAAGACGCGAGTAAAACTCTAGACTACGAATAGAGATTTGATAAAGCTTTGTAGAGGAAAAGGGTAATCAGCTGTCAGGCGTCAGATGTCAATAGCGTCGGGCGTCGTACGTCGAGCGGGGACGTTGGGCGTCAAGGATCATGGGTCACGAGTCACGAGTCAGAGTCACGAGTCACGAGTCATAAGTCACAAGTCAAAAAATGGCTAAGTGGAATGTAATAAGGGCCTAAAAGTTAAATGAGGAAACAGGAAGAAAAATATTAATGGTTGTCAGAAGAGGATGGCGAAGGTTGATAGGCACGATAGGCGATATCGTGGGCGTCCTGGGGAAGACTTCGAGCCCAGCCGTGACCGCTTCCTCCAGCCGCACCAGCTCCGGAAGAATATCCCACTCCGTAATCGGAGCCGATACCTCCTGAACCGCCAGCGAATCCACCGTGACCGATGCCTTCGTCATGACTTACGACGTGACTGCTACTGTGATGCGGATGGGACACCACCTCGTAGGTCACGTGTTTCTGTTGGGATCCAAGAAGTTTCTTCAGTCCAATTATCGCGGAAATGAGGAGGGCTATCTTGCCGATCAGAAGGGCCTTGCCGGCGATGAACGCAATGGCGCCCAAGGCCAGAGGCAGAAGGGCTGCTGCCTTCAGTGCAACGGCTAGTAGAATTGGTCCCAAAATCTTGGCTGCCTTCTCTATGGAAAAAAAAAAAAGAACAAAACGATGTTATTGCTGTGCGAGAGCAGAAGAGAGGTCTCGAAGTTGAATGGAGGCTAAGGTCGAGCAGCAGATGGGCGAGGATGGCGTTAATGTTGACGGCAGTGGCGGCGGCGGCTGAGCAAGGAGACGAGGCGGCGGAAAGGTAGATACTCGTTCAACAGGATAGAAAGTATGTCAAAAATCCCGCGTGTGTCGAGTGTATCTCCCTCCTCTCGTCGGCGGATACAAAGGGGAAGCGGAACCAGTTCCTCAGTGGGTCAACGTCTTCTACGTGTGAGAGAGAACCTACCTCACGATACCAAAGCACTTGCTCCTCCTCTTTCTTCTTCTCCACATGTCTCTCCTTACCACTCCTTACCAGCCCACGTCCCGCGCTCCTTAGGATCGTCGCCGATGCTGGTACTTACTCTTTTTGCCACGTCCTTCGACGACGCTGTCGGTCAGGTCCTCGAGACTGCGTCCAGTAGACTCGATCGCACCGAGAATGTCGGTGCCCTTAAGGTCCACTTTGATGGTGTGAGTCCTTAGAAATCTGCCGACTCGATCGAAGATGAGAGCGTCGACGTCGGTAGTCGGATCGGTAGCGTCGAGGGACCTGGAACAAGAGAAAAGTCACTGGTGTGTCATCGAGAGACTCGAGAGATTCGAGCGGCGGCCTCCTCCTAAACTGGCGATTCGCCGATTCGGGCTATCTTACCTGGGAGCACCCTCCTCCGTCTTCGAGGATGTCCTGACTACGGTGATGCCCTCGCTCAACGCAATGTCTTCCTTGTCGGCGAGCATCTTGTCGACGAATGCAAAGAGCTTGTACTTGATGCATCCAATGGACTCCTTCTTAAGGCAGTCCGAGTAGATGCTGGCCATCAGGTCGTTCTCACTAGCGGTCTTTCCGGCGGCGGGCAACGCCACCGAGGTGGCGATCGCCCACAGGCAGATCGGCAAGAGGAACTTGTACATTCTGACTCCTGGAGGAACTTGTCTCGCAACGTCTTCCTCGGGGAAGAAGGATGAGAAGGGTTGCGCCGCCGGGAGAACGGATGGCCTCGGAAGGAGGCGAAGCACGCGAGATTCGCACTAGTGCGACACACTCGATCGACAGGAACCTCGTGTCCTTCGGTGACGATCCTCAAAGTGACCAGAGTTGTATTTCTGGACGCTATCTGGACGCGTGACGTACTCGCCGTGTGCTCGATGCGTGCGTGCGACACGAGATTCGAGCTGACTTGCGTGGTGTGCTGTGTTGCATCTAAAAGACGTTGCTTTGCTTTTATACCGAGCTCGGGGGTTCGGGTTTGGCTTCGGGTTCGGGTTCGGGTTCGGGTTGGGATACGTCGAGTTCGCTCTAGCCTCGTTGCCCCTCTACGCTCGACCAGCGACTGTTTCGCCCCACCTTTGGTATTTTGGCAAGATAAAAAAAACTGAGCATCGCGCATCGCGTGGAAAAAAAACTGATGCCATGCCGCGCGCAACTCTTGGTCGCCATCAGGCAACGTAGACCTACTTTAGCCTACCTCTGTTCCCCACACGAGGGTTCGCACGGCCACTCTCTCCACCTGTCCCTCTCTTGCTCGTGCTCTCCCACTACCCCTTTCTACCTCCTTTCCGTTAGTTCTTCCTCCCTTGGATTCTGCCCTCCGGCTAACTCCGCGAGTTCTCTCGGTCGCGTCTTCTCCGTGCCGAGATCGTATATAAGTCGTTCAATTATCCTTGTCCTTTAGTAAAAGATTAGTGTCCTTCGGGACTTTGGGTACTTAGAGGGATTCGGCTCATGCGTGCTTCCGGTCGGTTGATTATCCAATTCGGTTTGACTCGAGCGACGCGACGAGGTTGCACGTTGCTCCAAGTCTATGAGCAAGAAGGATCTTCCTCAAAATTGGCGCGGCTATCGAAAACTCGAAAATTGCCAAATCCTTTTTTGTCTACGGTGCAAACTAATGACGCCAAAACGCAGCGCACGCGGTAGCTCGTATCATTGGCCGCTGGTGTCATCTCTCTACGCACATTTCGAAATTCATCGAGCAGTGATGGACGATCCTACGGCACTACGGGAACTCGAGCCACTTACCTATTTTAAAGTAGGTCGCGAGAGAACATCACGCGCACGCTCTCGACTACAATCCAACGTCTTAAGGGGATACATCATGAGAACCAAGAGAATCAAGAGAATCACGAGAATCACGAGAGCAGCTGACATTATGAAAATGACGAAAGATTACTCAGCCCTTTGTGAAGGTATAGCTTTCGCACAGCCACGCGTAGTTGCGTCATAATCGTGCGCAAGGTATCTCGCGTTATGCACGGATTCTATGTACAGTTGTACACACATCCATATATGCTTATGGCCAGCACGTTAATGACAGCGATAAGCGGCGAGCAGCGATCTACGTACGTTACGGTACGACGAAGCTGCGACGAAGGGAACCGAGAAGAAGACGCGTATGGCAAATTCAAAATACTCGAGAAAGTTCTCTCTCTCGGTTCTCTCTCTCTCTCTCTCTCTCTCCCCTCTGGTTCTTTCGACCAGGGAAAAGGAAGAGAGATGCGAGGGAAACTTCCGGAGCGCTCGCTGGGAAAGTCGTGGAAGGGATTCGATCGAAAGTCTACGAGGTCGACACAACCGGATTCCGGGCGATGCGCTACAGTCCAGGCGACATGCAGGCGAATCGTCGTGCTATTGGTAGAGGCGCGCATTGGCTTGGCGCAAACCATTCGACGCTGTCGAGGCGTCGATCGGCTGCAGGAGCTCGGATGCCGAAGTCGAAAGTCAGCCAAGTCAAAAATGAGAAAAATGAAGATACAAGGTGAAATAGCAAAGAACCTGACGCCAACCACAATGCCGCGTCTGTTACGCTCGCCGCAAATGAAAGTCTGCTCTTCCTTTCAAAGTAATTTCATGTTTTTTCTTGAGCTGTTCTTCGTTCCCATCTTTTTTTCACGAGTCCCGTTTCTCGCCGAGTTATACATTAGATATTATATATCTATATATCTATATCTATATATATTACTACACCATCCAAAGAGGTCCTCGTAACGCTAGGCGTAACGCTTCGTTTTTCTTTCATTCGAAAAAAAAACAGACTCCGCTCCACGTCCTGCGAGCGTCATTCGGGAACAGGAAACACGGATCATTCGGAATGCCTTTAGAGGAAGCACGAGGAGTTGGTTGGTCGGTCTTGACAGCCGGAACAGCCGGAATCGCAGCAGCATCGGAAGGAGACTCTCCTGTGCGTGTCGAAACGGTGAACAAACGAGAGGACAAGTAAATTGCACGTGCGAATAAGTAAATGTGTGCGCAGTTCTCATTTTAGGACGCTAAAGTAGACTTTATTCCAAGGTCAACATAAATCGATCTGGGAGAATTTTGCGACTAGTGTAGTAGCGGGTGTACTCGCATTCGATGGGAACCGCTCCACGTGATATCTTGTACGCGTCGGGTAAATAAGAAATAACGATGCAGATATAAATATGAATAAATATTTCATTGGTCGCTCTCGTTCACCAGGTCAGCCATAAGTCGCATGCGCAGTGCGTTCGAAGTGGCTGTCCGAGTGACTCGATCAGTCAGAGGAGAATGCAGAAGAGTGCAAGCGCGGCCGATCGACGATCATGGTTGCTGCCAAACCATGGCGTTGGGCTGGACTTTGAAAATTCAGATTAGTGCTGATATCCCGAGTATGCTTGGCTCTGGCCCGAGTAAGATCCGTGAGAGTCCACGTCCCACGCGGGAGATCCGGAACTTGCCCAGCCTCCGGAACTGGACCCACCTACGTTCCAGCCACCGCCGCCGCCGCCGCCTCCGGATGACCATCCTCCGCTATACGGAGTGACGTCGTGACCACTTCCGCCTGAGCTCCAGAGCGATTTAAGGCCTAAGAAGGCGGAAATAGCGATTGACACCAAAGAGGCGAGGATGGCTTTCTTCGCGAGAAGAGCAATGCCGAAGTAGGCCAGAGTTGCCAGTGCTCCAATCTTGACCTTGGCGGCGAGGAGCAGTGGCAGGATCGACTTCAGGATTTTCTTCTTCCCACGACCTGCAATCGTTAACGTGTCCACAATCGAATCCTTCCCAATCCTTCCAGGTCCGTCCTTCTCTGACTTACCTTCAACGACCTCGTCGGCAGCCTGACGCACCTCCTGGGGAATGGAGTCGGCAAGGGCTCGTGCCGACTCGCCAAGGGAATCGATTGCCGGTCCAAAGTTGATCTGTAATAAATAAGAAAATTAGCGGTCGACTCTCAAGGAGAGACTAAAGTTCCGAATCAACGTTCAGTTTACCCGAAGACTGCGTCCCACGAGGAAGTCGCTGGCCTTCTCGCCGACAAAATTTTCAAGAGCACTTTGACGATCCGCAACGCTCGACGCGGCCTCAATATCTTGATCGTATAGTACTTCCTTGGCAGACTTGGCGGAGCGAGAGCTGTCAGTGTCGATGGCCGACCTGACGAGAGTAACACCTCGCGCGATCTCCAGGCTTTCCTTGCCAAAGAACTCCTTGGCCATTCGGTAGAGGCTCCTCTGGACACAGGAGATGCTATCCTGAGCTAGGCAACTGTCGATGCTCTGCCTCGAGCTCAAGGTCGAGGCCGAGGCCGAGGCCGAGGCCGAGGCCAAGGCCACTGCCAGTGCCGCCACTAGCAGCGAAACGATCTGTAGCACCTTCATTCTCCCGAGCGAGTATCTCTGTCTGCTGGCTTCACGCGCACGCGACACCGAGAGAAAATGGAAAACCGAAGATTAAGCGAGAGTGAGAGGAAGCGAAAGAGCGAGAATTTACGAGAGAGGAAGCTCCTGAACTCGCTCTTTGAAAGCTTGCCTTCGGATCGTAGTGAAATTTCGTATGGTCCATCGGACAGGCTCTTTAGCTTATATTCGGCGAGCCCCCTCCCGTCTCCTATCTCCCCACTTTTTTTTACTATTTGCCGTGCGCGTCACGGCCGTTTAAACGCATGTCCGAAAGTATTCACCAATCGCGGAGATCGCGAAGCCTCGCGACACCGCCTATCGATACGCCAACTCGCATCGTCATATCTCTTTCCCTCGCTTCCTCTATACCATCCTCCATTCTTCCGGTTCAGCCGTGCGACTTCGGCATCTCCGAACTTTCTCGGGGATATCCTAGACCCGACCGCCTAGAGGAAGTTGTGACGCTCACGTGTCAGTGGTTAAAAAAAAAAAAAAAAAAAAAAAAAAAAAAAAAA